TTGCTCACTTCGTTTGTTAACATAAGAAATGACTCGCCAATATATAGAAAAACAATTTTGGATTAGTTGTGCCAATTGCAGAGACATGAAAAAATTATTTGTAAAGTAATTATTTGTAGTTTTTCATAATAATTCAGAAAGTTGTTCTAAGACATTCAGGTGTGAAATCATGCTCCCCATTAAAGTATACTTTAATGTGTAATAAAATAAGATAATCTCTTATTAAGTTAAATAAATATAAATAGAACAAGCAGCATGTTATGTAGGACAAACTTGTGTGTCACGATCTCGCAGGCAGAGGTCGCTGTGGAGACAACGTGCACGAGCACTACATTGAAAGCGCGTGCACATTCTTGTAGTGCGCATAGACGCTAAGAATGTTTCCTATGAACATGTGCCTTTTGTTTTGATTTGGTTCTCTTCCAGTTCAGGTACTGGTTAATATTCGAGGGTGTGTCATGATTGGTCCCAGTTGTCTGTATTCAGGGGTAACAGTGACTGGATATTTAAACTCCTCGCGTTGCTGCGCATGTTGTGCGCTATTAGAGCAGAGACCAATAGAGACTGATGGGTGTAATGGTGCCACACGGTAAAGTTCCATGTCCTGTCTTGTTCCTTACTCCATGCCATAGTTCAAGGGGAGTATGATGCCATGTCATAGTTAAGAGTGTACATGCCAGGTTTAAATGAGTGTTTCATGTCTGAGTTAAGCGAGTGTTTTCAAATCATGGTCCTGTTCTAAATGTTTTGAGTTAAGGGATAAGTGTTTCAGTTTCATGTCCTCTGCCTAAGTCTAAATAAAGACGTCACTCTGGTGCTTACTTCCTGTCTTGAGTCTCGTTTCGTAACATTGTGCAAATTACACAAGTCTATGGTGCGGTATATCAGAGGATTGTGGAATAAAATATATAAATAAAATGATATAACTTTAAAAAAAAACTTATACTTAAGTGATTACTACAGTAACAGTACTTTTACTCAATGAGAATGTTTTGTACTCTTACCACCACTGCAAACACTACCTCATACTGGCTCACCTTGTGACTCTGTTAGTGGTCTCGGCATCGTTGCACACATGAAGGAGGTGAAATAGGGAAAGTACAAGGAATGACTTTTTATGATACTGCTCAAGTAATCGAAACTACATGAGAACAGATTTAAGTCGATCTCTACACCTGCTTAAAAAAATTCATAGAAATTCGAATGGCTTCCACTACATGTATCATTACAAACCAGCAGATATTAACCATTCAAACCATTACCGAATGGTTTCCCTTACGTAGTAGGACGTATTAAGGATGTAGGTTCTTAATGGTATCACACCCACAGTGACTGTTACAATTTCCATTAAAATACAATTCAATTCGCACAACCATTGAAACCATTATAAATACTATGAGTGCTTCTCGTTACAATGTCATTGACTGGTTGCAGTTTTGAAATCACAAAATATAATTCCATTTCTCCACTAGGGGAGATACAAAAAGGGCAGAATAACTATAACTTTGTTTACATATTTTTAATCTCTCTGTGATTAAGGATCATAGCATTGCAGCATGAGTTTAGTATTCCACCTGATAAAAATAGCAATTTCAATTAATCACCTAGCTGTGACAAGACAAATGTGGTGTGGTAATGCAGGGAAAATCGCTGTAGGACTGTGCTGTAGTAGGACCCGAGTTTGAAACTCGCTTAGACACTTACGTTGGTCTGAAAACAGTAGTACAGGTGTGTGAGGTATGGGTGATTGTAGGCCAGAGCCAACACTCGCTTCTCGATCATGGTGGACTCCACGTCGTCGTCTTGTAGTATGACATCTTTCTTCAGCACCTTCACTGCATACACTCGATCATCATTGTTCACGCGAGCCAGCATCACCTGTACACATGTGCGCACACAAATTCAAGTACACTGTATAGTATAGACCTATAAAGTCTGCCACGATATATTTTCCCCTACATTGAAAATTTGTCAAAAACTACAAAAATCTTCATGAACCATAGGTCTGTTTGACTTGAACTGTGGAACATATATGTGTGGGACACATGTCTTTCTATAGGATGATAAGCAATTAGGGGCGGCTGTGGCGCAGTTGGTCGAGCGGGTTGTCCACTAATTGTAGAGTTGGCGGTTCGGTTCCCGGCCTGGGTGACTCCATATGCCGAAGTGTCCTGGGGCAAGGCACTGAACCCCGAGTTGCTCCCAATGGCAAGTTAGTGCCTTGCATGGCAGCTCTGCTACCATCGGTGCGTGTGAATGGGACACAGTGTAAAGCGCTTTGGATAAAAGCACTATATGAGTGCACATTTACCAATAAAGAATCAAATAAAAATTGGCCGAACTAGTTACATATTGGTTAATTGACAACTGTTGCACATATTTCTTGTGTCCATAAATCAATGGAACTTATCTCCAAAAACAATGATTTTTAAAATAATAACACTATGTTATATTATGTTTAACACTATTTTAAACATCCACTAGATGGAGCTGTTTGTCTCCGAGGCAAAGTACACTTTAGTGCATATAGCTTTAAAGCTTGCATTGAAAACTGAATTGTATTCACTGACTAATGTACGTTAAATAAGCATTTTTGTTTTGTTTTTCAGTTTGCAATTTGGTCATTCAACCCTCTCTACAAACTGAAATGTGTTTAGCTAATTGTATATGATCCACCAGAAACACGTGAGCAGAGGACAGATAAATGAATCTAAAAATCTGCCATTTATCCAAATGCGTTTAAATGTTGTATCTGTGGGATACATGTCTCTTTTTTTTGAGGAATCCACCATTTTTTTTGAGGAATCCAAACATGCTTGCAGCTATGTTTTTATCAATGTAACTGGTAAATACAGTAAGTAAATAGTAAGAATAAAGCTTGGTCCACTAATCGTAGGGTTGGTGGTTCGATTCCCGGCCCGGGTGACTCCACATGCCGAAGTGTCCTTGGGCAAGACACTGAACCCCAAGTTGCTCCCAATGGCAAGCTAGCACCTTGCATGGCAGCTCTGCTACCATTGGTGTGTGAGTGTGAGTGTGAATGGGTGAATGAGACACAGTGTAAAGCGCTTTGGATAAAAGCGCTATATAAGTGCACATTTACCCACGTTTGAAATTTGATCATTTCTAGGTCTATATATCTAGACGTCACTACTTTTTCAGCGAAATTGCTTTTTTTTTCACGTCATGGCAGATACCTGATTTTGGAAAAGCCTTTTAAGGCTGAGAATTACATATTAAACAGTTCAAACAGAACACACGCAGATATTTACTTCAGAAATCGACACCTGTGCTTCCCCTTTTTAAAAACCACCAGCCGCCACTGGTTGCGGTTTAATATTACATGAGAAAACTCAAACAATTTAACAGGGGAACCGAAATAAATCGCACAATCCAGATCAGGAATATGAAGATGAGTGAGGTTGTTTGGATATAGTTCAACAGTATATTATTAATAATTATTCATTTTGAATTAATGATCATGCTATTTGCTTCAAAATAAAGCCATGATTTGCAGTGCATTCTAAAGTATAGTATATATTTATAGATGTATAATATTTACACAGTAACAATTGCAATATCTATGATCTCACACAGGGGTATCCAATCTTATCTGAAATCAGGATCAAGAGACAGAATTGACAGATCTGGGGTGTCCACTCTTATACGTAAAAGGCCGGTGTGGGTGCAGGTTTTCATTCCAACCAAGCAGGAGTCACACCTGAGTCTATTGAACGCCAAACAATTGGAATCAGGTGTGGCTACTGGAAAGAAAACCTACACCCAACCAGCCATTTAGGGATAAGATTGGACACCGCTGATCTACCATCTTGCCTCTTGATGTGTCTGTTCTATATCTGGCAGTTTATTTTCAACATCTTAAATTAATTTTTTTTCTAATCTGTTAAATAGAGGTATATGCAATGTTGTAAACTTAGTTTCTCACCTTGCCAAAGCTGCCTTTTCCCAGGACCTGTAGGAATGTAAAATCCTCAAGCCCCATCTTCATACTGTCCTCATTAGCCACCACAGACCGCCCTTGACGTCTACTAGTAGAAGATGTAGACTTCACTGAGGACGTGCTCATCTGTGGAAAAGGCAAAGAGAAACACATAGACTTACTTTATTTAGTTTCATGGTCTAACGGTAGCTGTTCTTTTCACCATACAGCTGATGTTGTACCTGGGAGTGGTGCTTGCTGAGTCTGCCTGCCTCCAAGCCAATCTCCGCCAACTTAGTAGCCAGCTGTGCACTGTTCACCCCACAATTGGGAGCCACATTTTTTTCGCAACGAATGTGCACATTCATCTTACAACCTGAGCATAAATGACAAATTCTTTACTTACACACACCACACTTTAAAGCATATGTGATATCATAGTGCGTACATATGAAAGACTTAATAAAGAGACAGTAAGAAAGAGATAAGCATGAGTAAACATTTTAGTTTTTAAAGGGTGCCTTCACTGAGCCTTCATAACATATTCACAAGCATTGCTTAAATAGTTCATAAAGCAATACTGGATAGGGTATGCGTGTGTGTTATACAACTGAGCTGTTGAGGGTTAAGGACCTTAAGCTTGTCAGATTTGAACTCACAACCTTCATGTGCATGGTGGTCTGGCTTCCCTTTTGCTGTATTTCTACCTCATGACCATCCAGTGTTCTATATGTATTGTTAATAAAATATGAACTAATAATCGGCAAGAAAAGGATTTAAAAAATGACAGTAACAAATAAGATAAGTTTAACCAACATTTCCCTCTTCTCTCTTTCATATAAAGACAAATTCACATAAAAGCTCACATAAAATTTCATAAATTCAGCACTGATTTATATTATATTTTCACAGTTCTTATGAACATGTTATAAAGATGTAGAGGAGGTACCATTCAAATAAAGTACATTTACCCTTATCCCTAGCGACTTACATTTAACTTATTTATACAAGTGAGCAGTTGAGGGTTAAGGGCCTTGCTCAAGGGCCAGCAGTAGTAACTTGGCATAGTTGGGATTTGAACTCATGACCTTTGGATCAGGATTTCAAAGACTTAACCACTGCACTACCACAGTCAGACCAGTATTACCTTTGCATTGAAGACCCTGTTTCACCAGTCCATACAGGAGCGATCCACAGTGGTTACAGTAAGTGGGCACTTTATAATTGTGCACATTAAATCGATGCGGTAAGTTGATGCTAAAACCTTGACTGGGACCCTATGAGAAAGAAAGAACTTATGTTTGGAATGTAAGACTTGTAATGATTATATACTGTAAATGGTTTACAAATTCTGCATTCCTCATGCTCTCCGCATAAAATGTACTTATAGAAAGAGGGGAAAGAGTCATACCTCAGTTGCTTTTTTCTTCAGCTTTGGACACTCACTAACAACCAGATGGTGGCATTTCTTATGGACCACACAGGTGCATACTGACAGGTTGAAATAAAAATGCTAAGGGTTAGAAATCCATGCTGTAATAGCGCTGCAATATTTACAGGATAGCTACTGCACTAGGTCTACTTCAGTTCTACAGATTTTTTTTTTTGTTGCAATAAAAGCCCGTGAGTATTTTAAGGTATTTTAACAATCTGAGCAATCTGAAGATGTTTACCTTGACACTGGTAACCCTGCTTTCCAAAAACTCCCCTGGAGAGAGATGGTAGATAAACATTTATGAGTTTTGAAAATAAACTGAGATTACAGATTTAAATCACTGCCTAAACTTGGTGTTTAGTCAGTTTTTACTTGTTGGAGTTTGTCTTAACCAGTCAAACAGAGGAACACAGAGAATGGTGCAAGGTTTTCATTATATTTTCAACTATAACTATACTTTACTTATTGAAATTTATATATATATATATATATATATATATATATATATATATATATATATATATATATATATATATATATATATATATATATATATATATATATATATATATATATATATATTTGACAGATACAGATCTTTAAAAGCTACGCATTCATTCAATTATCTGATAGCCAGTCATGTGGCAGCAGTGCAATTCATAGAATCATGGGCATATGATGTTCATGGGCATACGGGCCCATTCTTTTTAGAGGCAAGGACCCCTTTAATGGTAAAGAAAATGTAGGCATGTTATTTAAATATTTACTGCTGGCTGTGGCTATTTGCAGAAATTTGCCACTCATAAAACATGTTTTTATTAAACTTATTATTACATTCAAGTTGGCATTAATTGTAGCCCTAGCTGTTTTCTTAGAATTAAAACTATTTAATTCAAGTGACCATTCAAACAGGCTAATAACTATAAGAACTCAATAAGATATATAATAGACTATTTAAGTGAATTTCCCTGTTTCTATAGCTTCTTTCTCTTTCTCTTTCTCTTTCTCTCTGTCTGTCTCTCGCGCTCCCTCTGTCTCTCTCTCTCTCGCTTCTCTGTCTCTCTGTCTTTCTCACTCAGTGTGTGTGTGTGCTGTGTGTGTGTGTGTGTGTGTGTATGTGTGTGTGATATAACGTCACCATATAAAATTTTTGCAGTGGCAGCAAAATGTAGGCTGTCTCAGGTACGTGGCCATGAACTTGTGTCCATTGACTTGGTGCACTTTCCTCCTCAAAGCCCTTTGTCGTTTCCTGCTTAACTGCTTATGAGTCCATCCATTAACAGTGGCATCATCTGAAATGAATGGCACATTGTTAAAGCGTAATATCATCTGTTTGACAATTACAAAATATGCATGAGGTAAATAAATAAATAAATAAATAAATAAAAGAAAGAAAGAAAGAAAGAAAGAAGAAAGAAAAAAAGAGACAAACATCACTGCCAGAGATCCTGAGTGTACAGATAGTTCATACAGTACAGATGTGGTGGAATAGGGAAGTTCTGCTAGGAAAGAGGAAGCAGTGTTGTATAAAGTAATAAATGTCATAAACTTGTAATATATAAGCATAGGTCAGTGTAGCTCATAGAAAAAATTAATGGTATGAGCCAATGAAATAATATTATTACTTTTTAATTAATATATATTAAAAAAATTCTTATTACTTTCCCAAACATGATTTGTGTAAGCTACAGAAGATTTGAACAGAAAGACCACTTGCAATTGATTAACTTGGACAGAAATACAGACATGGACCAATGTTTCACCCTCTTGTTTACAAACAATATTATGGACATGGAGAAAAGCATGTTTGGTAAATGTACTAATACACACCACAGATGTTAATGTACTGAAATACAAGAAAGGTCTTGACAAATACTCGATCCTCGAATGTAAATGTCAAAGTCATGTTAAAGTGTTTGCAGCAATAAAATAGAACTTGAAAAGTCTCCGAGTCTAATTAAAGCTTCCACACATTGAAATCTTAGGGCGGTTAGACAGCTATATCAGGTAAGCTCTGAGTCCATAATGTCAATGTCTGTGAGAAAGGAAATGAATATGCCACGGTTAAAGGTCAAAAGCAGAATTAAGATCTGGGACAAAGCCTCACTACTATACGATGTATCAAAATCAGGTGGAAACGAGGTCAAATTAAAAAATTCCATTAGACTGGTGGAGACTGCTATAAGTTTACTGTTCGCAAAGACTAATCCATTTATCAGTATTTAAAGGTCATCTATATGGCCTACAGATTTTCTCAAGTCACAGTAGTTTATATTGTATGAAGAATTCACGTGCGTTCAAAGGTTTCGGGACACGGGACTGCAATGTTTCTCATGATCTCAAAAATCTTTTGATCTGAAGGTGTATGATTAAATGTTTGAAATCGGTGTTGTACACAAAAACATAATCGTGCCAACATATTCATTTCTTTCATTAGAAAGCGTTTTCTAATTTTATTTACAAACAAATAGATTTTTTAAATGGATGACTCAGAGCGAAATATTATGAAAAGCAGCCAATAAGTGTCCAGCATAGGTGGGAACTCCTTTAATACTATTTAAAAAGCATCTCATGGGGATTCCTCAAGAAATCGGCTGAGAAAATGCCAAGAATATATTTCTGTAAATTCTAGGCAAAAAGGGTATCGACTTAGAAGATGCTAAAATACTAAAATTATTTTTATTTATTTTGGATTTTTTTTTGTCACAACATAATTCCCATAGTTCCATTTGTGTTATTCCAGAATTTTGATGACTTTATTATTATTATTATTATTATTATTATTATTATTATTATTATTATTATTATTATTATTATTATTATTATTATTATTATTATAAAATGTGGAAAAATAATAAAAATAAAGAATGAGTTTCCAAAATTTTGACCCCAAGTATAAAAAGCAAGAACCTTGTAATTGAGTTTTTGGGTCCTGTAGTGTTTAGCACTCAACTCCAATAAAAATGTGGGAGTGAGTATGAATTCTTCTCTGATACCAGTATATGAAAATAAATGTCTTCCCTCTACTAGGATGGTCAGAATTGCGAATTAAAGGTATCTGACTATGAAACTTTGGTGAATTCTTTCATTTGTTCACTGATATTTTATACCAAATCTACCCAAATTTACCTTAAGCAATTTAAAGAGAAATATTTAAATAAACCTTCATGCAGATGCAGTGGTTTCACTGGGTTTCCTCAAAGTTTCACTAACTGTATGGATTTTATTTACTCATTCCAGATGCCTATATAAGTTTATAAGTTTATAAGTTTGCAATATATTTTTTGTCATGTATAAACATTTTCAAATATCAGATATGCAGCAGTAAAAGTTGATAGTAACTGGAACAAGTAGAGGGATCTTTATGTTGCTGATATTGCAGAAAACCTAATAGATCATCCAGCATAATGGCATATGCAGCATTAGTTCTAACTGGGCCTTAATCTAATGATTTATCACACTGCACACTGGACTATGTTATGTTTTGGGGAAAAAAGCAAGTCCATTGTGATGACATCACTAATGTCCACTTGAGCTAAATCTAGCTTTTCATAAATTCCTCATCCTCAAAATGCACTGTAATTAAAATAATACACCTGAAAAAGCCTAAATGATTTAGATTATTTTGAATTATTTAGACTATTTGAATAGACAGTTCTATCAAAGGATGATAGTATTTTGGCTCCAAATGGATTCAAGGAAAATAAACACTGCAAAGATATTTTGCTAGGAACAACAATATTAACTAAAAGTGCATAATCATCCATAGCTGTTCCAAAGTAGAAATTCTAATAGTTCTGTTATAAAAATCGAAATATTTTTGGATAAATATTTTTGCGATTTCATTCAATCAGTACGTTTACATGGACAACAATAATCCGATATTAACCTGATTAAGACAATCCTCTGATTAAGAAATTACTATGTAAAGAGCATTTTTTAATGACCTTAATCCGATTAAGGTCATACTTGAAGTAAACACAAATCGAATTAAGACGTGGAGTATTCCTGTTTTAGTCGCATTATCGACATGCGTTACAGACATGTAAGCACTTTAATCACACTATAGTGAGTGTTTTCATCACATTTTGCGACACGACATGCGACACACAAGGCAGTGCGCAACCGTTTAACGGCAAACAAGGGAGCACGGCTGTGTCCGATACCGCAAACTTACCTGCTATATAATAGGTGAAATACATGTATCTCAGCTACTATATAGAGAGTAAGTACGCAGTTTGGGACGCAGACCACGGCTTCAATCAGTCGTCAATTTGCACGTATAGCATGACAAATAATTAACTGCACATGAAGCTTTCATAAAGTTAAAAATTAAAATACCCAAAACTGTATACCGTACCATAACGAAGACCAACAGTATATTGATACGTGAAATTCTGGAGGGAACGTCAGACGGCGTGGCGCGGGGATGTAATGACGTGTGCCGTTAATCGATCTAAGTTCTATAACATGTAAAACGGGAACAAGAAAGGAATATTCTAAAAGCGACTCATGTAAACACCTTAATCACAGTATTCTCTTATTCAGAATAAGGTTAATAAGAATAAAATTCCACAGCCATGGGTACGTGGACATATTCCTAACAATAGACTAATAACAAGACTACCATTATATTAGTACATTATATTAGGCCTAAATACTGTCTCTGTAAAAGGAACAGGTTTAACCAATTTTCTAA